TCGCCTTAACTCCAATTCTAAGGATAATTTAACAATATCCTAATAATTTTCCTGTTTCTCTACTATGTCTTTTTTTTTTTTCTCCCCAGTTTTTTTTAAGTCCTTCCAGAAAACACTGAATCCAATTTGGAAAACCTCTTAAACCTCTTCAGTGATTGTGCTTGCAGTTCAAGTGAACTGGGACTTGTGAGCAAAGCTGCTGCTTTGGGAAAGCTTACCCTGCTGCATTAAATATTTATTTTGAGAAGATAGGGTTTTACTTTTTGGTAATGATCACCTCAGTAATTTAATTTAGAACTTTGAAATGGCTGTATATACCTGCAGCAGACTGTTTGAACAATGTGAGAAAACAGGTTGGAAACTTGAAAATGGTTTTTATCATGGGACTTGAACGGTTTCAAAAGCCATCTTAAACAAGCAGGTGACTGTGTGAGACTCAGACAATCATCTTTATATTTTGTAGAGGCATTTAGTGGACTTCTGTAAAAGAAATTAAGCAGCATGTAAGAAAGAGAGTTGAAAGTAGAGCTGATCTGCACAGTCTGCAGTCCTGAGGGGTCATTGCTCCTGTGTTGGCACCTGGAGTGGCTCAATATGCAGCTGTTTATTCTTAGCTCCTGCCTGTGTCGTGCTGCTGTGTGATGGAAGTCCAAAAGGAAGCCCAAACCCAAGGGTTAAAAGTTTATTGTAATAAAAGTCACTGTGGAATAAATAGTTTGAACAATACCGTTGAAGAAACGACGCCTAAATTATAAATATGACTGGAGGGTGTTCAGATTTTCACATCTGGTGTCTCTCTTTGAAGCACAGCACAGGGCATGTACCACAACCTCCCTGACAGCAGAGCTTAAGGGTGTAGGGGAAAGGTGTTCTGTGTGCATGTCTTAAAAGTGACTTGTTCCCCATCACATGTTGTTCCTGTTTTACCATAAAAAAAGAACAAATAAACAATTGATTTGGCCCTGTGCTCTTCTGTGATGAAAACTTTAAATGTTTGTCTGATGGTCTGAATGGGTAAGGTAAGACTTAGGCTGAAAGGGAAGGATAGATACTGTCCCTTAAATTCAAATCAAGCCCTTATCTTCGTTGTTTTCAATCAAAATCAAATTAATTCATTGCTTCACCCTCGTAAGTAGCTATTAAAATTCAAACCTATTTCTTCATACACTCACTTGTTTTTAGTTATGCAGAAACAAGTTCCAATGGAATTAATGATAATCAGGGTTGAACTTGACATGCTTTTACTTACGGTAAACCACTCTTTAACACATTTTTTTATGTGACAATCCTAACCATTTAAAATTGTCCAGACAACCTTTTCCCTTTTGCAGTCTTAATAAACAGCTGAGAGAATACAGCAAAATCCTTACACGGGAAAAAATTCAGTTATACTCTAACACAACTTGATGGCTGGAAAAAAGATTAGAGCCTGCACTGTACAGGCAGTGAATTTTGTTTGAAACACAGATACTTAGTCTGAAATTTTACAGGCATTTTCTTGTAAAACTTTGTGCTCATTTTTTTTTTTTTTCAAGTTTTTGAAGGGAGAGGTGACTTTTCTTGCATCTTGCCCATATTATGTCAAAGCCTTGCACAGAATCTGGGATCGCCTGACTCATTGATTCAAATTCTCTGTCACATGCCCTCCCATCCTGTAATGCTCTTCGTAAATGAATCAAGCTTTATCTTTAGACTGACAGACTTTGCATTTTTGAGAGGTGGATGTTGTGTCTGCACAGTTGGTATTTAGTGTATCTCCCAACACTGTCAAAAGAATGCAAAGTTACAGCATCTTCTTAACATGTTAAAGAGGTCTCACATAATTATTTTTCTCATCTCTTTTTACACAGTTAAGGGAGGTTTTCAGTTGCATCAGATCCAGATTGGTGCTAGTTTGTGCTGCTTGCAGTTATTTTGTTTCTAGATATTCAGTTTTACCCTGTGCATTCAAGGCAGTCTTGTGCTAAAGTATTATTTTCAGAAGCAGTTAATGGTTTCAGGGATTTTTTGATTATTCCCTCTCTCCTCTTTTCTGTGAGCTTTTCCTAATACTAGACTTTTCATGTCTGGAAATTTTATATAGACTATTACAGCAAAGATTGTAAGCAACTGTGATACAGGTTTTTAAATCTCATAGTTGTCATCAGTCCACTGTTTTAGAAAGGCATATGGAATATTTTCCTTCAACTCAGCAATGATACAATTTATGAGACCAGAGATAAAAAGTGAAGGAATTCTTGCTCCTATTCCCTTTTTCCTTTACACACTAGAAAAGGCTTTATTTACTGGTTATTATGTTCTTTGAAATTAAAAAACAATGACACATCGAGCTGAGATCCTTTTGGTCCATGAATAAACCATAGTAGAGAGCTATTGCAAGATGGTGGCTTGCAGAAAGCATGTTGTGTACATAAACACATGGAAGTTGTATGACATTTCTGTAAATATTACTTTGTACAGAGTTACTGTTTAAAAAAAAAAAAGCTTTGGGAATAAGTGTGCAGTTTTTTCAGCTGTGAGAGTGCTTTGCATTTAAAGTAAGAAGTATGTTTAAATTTAGTAATTTCAGGCACAGTTCATAAGCCTGTCCCAAAATACCAGCAGTAGGGAACTCATCAGGTATTTTAGGTTTGTAATTTGGTTTTAAACATGCAATAGGTTGTTTCAGGTTGAGTAAATATTGTTTTCTTAATGCTATAGTAATCTGGTCTTTCCTAGATTTCACTGTGTATTACTGAATAAGATCACTTAGAAACAGACTACTTTGGAGGATGCATGAGCAGGCATTTGCTATTACTGTTTGTTTATTATTATAAGCTTCTGCACAAAGACTTTCTTGATTTGTGTTCTGCAGGGGTAGCAGAAAGGCTTCTACCATAGACTTGATCAAAAATATGATTCCTGTATTGGAAGGAGGGGAAAGGATCTTATTCCTAAAAAAACCAAAATAAGCAACAACTACGATTGGGAAAGTGTATTCCTGCAACCCCAAATAAGTTCTTTCTTGATGGCAAGTGTCAGGATTGCACAAACCTAATAATTCTGTAAGCTCAAGATGTGTCTGTCTTCTCAGAACTGCATTGCTAAAACAATTATCCCTTCCTTCAGCTGGGTGTTGTCTGAAATAGCCATCTTTAATGGTGTGATTAATGTCTATTGGCAGTCCGCAGGACCTGAGTAATTGTGGCTGAAAATACTGAGGAAAAAGGGGGGGTGTGTGTGATGCAGCACAATGGTGGGAGATAACTTACTGAGTGTTTGCTAGCAACTCATGCTATGCTTGCATCTTTCTTGAGAGATCTGCTTGGTGTTCTGCAGAGAGGATGGAACTAAACACATTTTTCATTAGACCGTGATTAGCAATCATTTGCAAATAATTTGCAGTTGCCTCAGACTCCACAGTGCCTTTCCTCTTGGAGCTGCAGGAATATCCAGCTATCTGTTTAAAATTCAGCCATCATGGTCTTGTGGCCTTTCTGTTTATAGGTCAAGTCTTTTGTGGCCAAAACTTCCACTAAGAAACTCCAGATATGTCATGAGAAATATGAGTGGAATCATAATTTTCACTGTTTTCTTTATTGCTTTAGTAGCTTTAGTCATTGTTTTAAAGGTCTACATTTAAAAATCCTTTAAAATCTGTTATTGAGCTAATTAATTAATAGATCACATTTGAAAATAGGACAGAACATCTTATTCTGCTGAGTTCTGGTGCTTCAGTCAATAAGCACAGAAGTGAAATGAGTTTGTTCACTTGAGAGATGCAGCAAGTGATGTTTTAATGATCTTGCATGCTGATCTCTAGGAACTTTACAGCTTCCTCTGAACAAGTCCAGCAGTAACCTGTGCTAAACATCAATCAGATTTACAACCCAATTATTTGCTAGAAGAAAAGAAACACTGTTGTTTTCCAGTAAGTGGTGCTATCATTTGTTTGCTTAGTCTAATTAATCTTCAAATGATCAAAGGATCTAAAATTAATCTTACAATCTTGAAAGGCTGGGCGTTTCTGGAGGTGGGATAGGTGTGCACGAAGTTCAGATCTGATGATCACTAATCACACTCTTCATTACATATTGTTTTCCTTCCTAAAACTGGAGGTTTCTGTCACTTTCATAAGCAATATCTACACAATATCTTTTGCAGAAAGTGACACTTCCCTAAAAATCACAGCATTGTGTTGTGGAATGTGAAGAGATTTTGTGCAATGTGTGCTCAAATCTGAAGGCAGGTGTGAATGTACCCGATGCTGGTGCACTGGCATTTTTGACAAAAAGGCCAATTACGTTTGTTCTGAGAGAGATCATCGGGGTCAATCCTTAAAAGACAGAATGAAGCACTACATTTTGCTTCTGTGAAGTTCTTTGAGATGAGCACCATAGTTACAGATGATTTTGGTTTTGATCAAGTACTGATGTAAACAGTAGATTACATTTAGGAGACAAAAACTCATCACTGTGCTTGATTATATTAAGATTAAAAACTTAATCATGGAAGACATGCTAGAATACAGTGACGATAGTACCATGTATTTCTTGTAAGCAAAGTCATTCATCTTAACATGTTTGGGTGAAAAAAAAAATCAATGGTTTCTGCATCTCCACATCAATATGTTGTAATGATTTTTCCTCACTGTTACAGCAGCTTCATTATTTCAGTGGAAGTACCTTATATACACCAGCAAAGTATCATCTCTGATAATCAGATTACATCTAGAGTCTTCCTAAGTTGATAAAATTTTCTCTTATATTGTCATTCATATATGTATAATACAAAATAAAGCTTCTTCAGTGCTCAGCTTTTAATAATCTTGTTCATAATTAAATATAAATCTGACTAAAACATATTCTTCTACATTAAAGTCTTGTCATAAAAACATTTAGAATATAAACCTTCAATACTCAATAGAGTGATACAATATATATATACACACACAAATGCACTTTTTTCTGTTAGTAGCAAGCATTTTGTTCACTATTTGCACAACTTCACAGTCATATGTCTTATACAATGACACTAAATCAGACTTCTGATTGCTCATTACTGTCAGGAATGACAGACGTTAAGGCAGCCTGACAGAAGCGATGCAATGTTGACATTTTTGTTTTCTGTTCAATGTACAGTCGCAGTTTGTCTCTGAAGGTTTCCCCCAGAAAGCTGTAAATTAAGGGGTTCAAGCAGCTATTAGAAAAAGCTGCTAGGTTCACAATGTGTCCTGTTAAAGGATAATCATGCCTGAAGGATGGGCTGTTTGAAGAGACAGGCTCGCTTTTCCTCTGGAGAAGTTGGACGCTAATGAAGACGTTTTCAGGGAGCCAGCAGATAAAGAAAACCAGGACAACAACAAAAATCATGCGCAGAGCCTTCTGTCGCCGCAGCCGGAGACTCCTGTGCTTGTGTGCTTTTATAAGGACTCGAACAATTAATGAGTAACAAAGACCGATGATCACAAAGGGGATAATAAACCCCAGGGTTATCTCTAGCCACTGGATTTCTTTTACATCTGCAAAACAGAAATAGACCTCTCCGGTGTGTTGTAAGTGCACGGCTGTAAATGGGACTAGAGCTGCCGAAATGGATGCCATCCATATGAGCCCACAGCTCAGTCTAGCGTGCTGCATAGTGCGAAAGAGGTTGGACCTCATTACTTTGGCCAGGGCTAGGTATCTGTCAAAACTCATCCATGTCAGAAAGAAAATGCTGCTATACATGTTGATCTGAAGGAACAAAGACATAAAGGTACAGATGATGGTGATATCGTAATATTTCTCATCAAGATTAAACACCTCAATGAGAGAATCAGCCACTAGAATGAGATCAGCCACTGCCAGGTTTATGAAGTAAAGGTCTGGGATTGTCATTTTTTCCCGAAAGCTAATGTTGACAACCAGTATCAGAATGTTTCCCACAAAACCGATAGGAAAAAGGAATATTGTGTAAAGACATGATAAGAAAAGGCCAATAACATATTGCTGGTGTTCTGATTTATCAGCTAATCTAGAGGATATGCTTTCGTTACACAAATGGGATCCATTCAGGTTAAAAGTTGTGCTGTTACACAGAACAGGTGATACTGAGGCAGAGTAAGTTTCCATGGTTAAAATATCTGCAGAAAATATATTAATACTCACAGTTTGGTGGCAATACCAAAAAAATGAGATTTTTGGTTGGTTTCAACTGAATTCGTAGTAAGCATTTTCGATTGGAATTGAAAAAGATACAGACTTTTGTATAGGAAATTAAAATTCTTTAAAGTCAGATTAATTAGACTTAAAACTGACTGAAATATAATACTACAAATAGCGAATGTCTTAATTTGTTTTACAGGATACTATATACATTTTAAATGAGAGAATTTGCAGTTCCTGTATGCCTTAAGATCATGTAGGAATCTTTTTACCATGGTGGTACTTGGGTCTCTTTAATAAAAGCTTTTCAGCAGCAGTGTTCCTTCATGCAAGTTGGAAGGCAGTGGGATTTTAGCTCCATTTGTTTTCTTTTAATAATCAATGAACATCCTTGGACCTGCAATTTGCAAATGGAAAACGATTAATCTCATATTCCAGCACTGCTCCATGTGCCATTAGCTTCTGCTAACTTAAATCACAGCTGAGGTTGTGGGAAACATCATGTTCTAATATAAATGCAAAGGTTCGCTAAAAAGAATTTAAATTTGTCCTAGATCAAAATACATTATGAGGGCAGGTCTGTTAAAATTGTGTGTGCCCTTCAGGGGTTCAGTATTAAAAAATGAAGAAATACAGAGAAATCAAATGAGTGACTTTAACCTAATAAAGGAAAACTGTATTTTTAAATATATATGCATATATATTTATTTTGTCAGCTTGTAAGACTAATAAATAGCAGAGTCTGTGGCTGAGAAGGCAACAGAGATGAAAAGCAGTTGGTTCCTGCTACTTTCAGTGGGAGGGAAAGGCAAATTTTAGAAATGAAGGTAATACAAGTAGCATATTGATTTACACCAACATTATTATACTTAATTTGTTTTCTGTTGTGATTTATTGTATTTCACTGACTTCCGGGTAGTAATGGAAAATACCCAGTTGTCAGATTTGTTTACTTCTAAATGTTGAATGTTATGCACTTGAAGCATTGCTAGAAGTTTATGTAAAAAAAGAAAGAGCCAAACAAAAGACACCCCAAACAAATAAAACAGCAAGAAAATTATAAACCAGGATATTTTGGTGCTAAGTATTAAATATTTTTAACTGCTTTAATCTTTGTCTTAATATCAACCATTGATTTTTATTTACATGAAAATATATTTTTAAAATTGGTTGCTAGTAAAATTAATGCATATTTCCACATTTTAATGACTTAAATTCTGCCAGTGTGCAGTCAGGGGGAGGAAAGAGCAGATCACTAGTGGAGTAGGAGTGTTAGAATAGTTTCAGTCAGAAATACAGCTCTTAGTTTGCTTAAATGTATTCAAGTCATCAGAAACAGCTACAGATACTTAAATAAAGATACAGGTTCCAGAGCTTCAATTTCTTAATGAAACAGGTATATGTTCCCATCACCTGTTGCTATGTTTTGAATAATTTTAATAGTGTAAATCTTCATGCTAAAATGTCCATATGAAGTTACACTTATTAGAAGGTTCAGTGTTTGTTTCAAGCAGCTATGAAGTCAGACATAAACTGTTGTCTTTATGTAACAGCCTTTTATTTGTGAATAAGGCAGTAAAACAGATTTAAATACAAGAAAAGATAAATTAACAGCCTGAGCAATTGATTTTAAAAGGTCCGTAGGTGGTCAGATTTTAATTACATCTGAAAGGCTGCCAAAAGCCAAGCAATTTAAAGCGTTACAGGTAAACTATGTACTGTGAAACACTTAATTTTACCTTAATTCCATTTCTCCCGAGCTGGTTTTCCTGCAGACAGTAGCAGGCTGCTCCTTGCTGGGTGCACACGTAATGGATGTGCCAACTTCCACTGTCCTCTCGGTAAAAACTTGCTTTTAGGTGTGCAGAGCTGCAGTGGGTGCCACCTGTTGATGATTCAGCAGTAAAAACAAAAATCATATAAAAGTCTTGTTCTGCTTTAAAACTTATCAAATAAAGGAGAGTTTACAAGAGCAAAATGCAGATCTTGCTGCATGTCCTTGGCAATAAAACAAGCTTTATAGATTCCCAGGGTTGTTCTAATTTGTGTGCAGTTGAAGTGCTGCTGAACAGCCTTATAAGGCTAGAATTAACCCTGTTTCTGCTGGTTTCTTTTTTACTAGAAATACTCAAACATCTTTCTCTCATATTTGTCAGTTTTATTTTGCCTAATGTTCATTGCACCCTCCTTTCTGCCTCTGGTGTTTTTTTAAGTTTTATAGTCCGTTCAAATCTAGAGCTCAGCTGAACAATAATTAAGAGATTTATTTGCAGATTGCAATGAAGCATATTTTACATAGATATAAAACAATTATTACTGTTATTTGTGCTATATTTTAAAAGCCTCTGGGCAATCTAAAGGGAAATATTGGATTGAAGACATCAAGCATCTGAGAAGGGTCATTTGCTAAATGGAAAAGATAAATTTCAGTTTTCCTACCTTCAAGTCGATCCCATTTTGCCTGCTAGTATTTAAATTTTCAGGTATGTATTGTCATTCTCTTACTTCTTAGAATTGCTCAGCTTAAAATCACATGGAGGAAATCAGCTTACCCTTCAGAGAATGAGGAGCCTCAGTTTTGCATGAAACACCAGTGTTGCAGGTGGAGTTTTGCATTTCATCCGCAGGGGGTAAAGAAACCTACTTGACGTTTCAAGTAACACCACCTACTGGTGGCCAGAATTCTTAGAATGGGAAGAAAGTCAAACCTTCCTCATGAAAGAGCAATATTTTATTTGTGGCAGTATTTTATTTGTGGTTATGTTGATCTGACACCTGAACATTCAGTGCCCTGAGTGGCTTTGCTGTACACGGATGCAGCATTCTGCTGCTGCTGGAATGAGATGAATGGGATCTCAGCATTTAGGACTTCAGGAAGACAGTGTGACAGTTTCAGAAGTGTGGAGTAAGCAATTAACATGTCATTATAATGGATGTATGACACCAATTACAGTGGTTAAATATCTCTAGGTTACAAAGGATCTCTCTGAAGGAAAGTGAAATAGAGGTTCTTCACTGAGTGGCTTTGGAAGCAGAAGCCCTTTGCCTTCATTGAGGCAAATATTATTTGCTGGTTTTTCTGCAACACATTGTGCCTAGGAATAGAGGATTTTGGCAGTGTTATTTAAAAAGTTTTTAAAGATATTCTTGCATGATGGCTCTTGGTAAATAGTTTTGGAATCAGTTGTTATTTAGATCAAAAGAATGTTTGCGCAGATTGGTGCTGGTAAATTTTTTTTGAACAGAAGGTTTCCACTGTGTGTGGAATGGAGTGTTTTAATACAGGGTGATGAGGACAGAGCCTAAAGTGTTTTGCTTTGAGATGTGTACAAATATGATTGCATTGTAGGACTGGAATATTGTAAATGTTAGAAAAATCTTGTGATACCAGCTTTGAAGGTCTTAATTTTTTGCTGTCATAAAAGAACAGGATTAAAAAGAGTCTTTATTGTTAATTGTTGATCATGTGGTTTTGCTGTACTTAATTCTGTCCTTCAGAGCTACCACTGATCTTGCAAGGGCCTGAAGGATTTTTTACTTTTCTTCATGTGTAACGCTCACTTCTGGGTGTCAGTTGTTTGTTATTACGGGGGCCTGGATTTGATAATCAGCTGGTCTGTCTGTCCTTGTTTGTCTAGCTGTGAATATCAGCTGATTTACTATTAAAATGTATAATTCTGAATGATAATTTTCTTGTTTGAATTCACGGTAAGAAATATGTCACTTTGCCATACTTCCAGAGTTGTGAGGAAATTCTCTTTCAAACGACCCATGAAGTAGCTCTTTTCTGTGCTAGAAGAACTGTGAAGCATAAGAAGTCATATTTAGTGTTGTAGTAATTTTGTATATTATTATATTGTAATTAATGGGTTCTGTATTTATCTAAATATATTATGAGATGATCGTGCGAATCCTCTGAATCCTGTTTCCTAAAACAGATCACAGCATTTTCAGGCTCCTGTTTATGCAGTCAAATTATTGTTACTGATTAACCTGTCTTAATCTCACTGTTTATCATTTCCATATTCCATAATATACTTCAAAGTAATTTTAGCAGCTGCTGAACATTGTACTTTTGCTCTTTCTCTGTCAGTATTCCACAGGACTTTACAGTGACTGCCTTAATGATCCATGGTCACAGTTGTGACAGTGTTGAGTCTTAAGCTCCACCTGTTTTACCTTCCTGTGATTGTTGCTGAGAAAATCTGTGAAGGCAACTGGTGCAGTAGCATTTATGTAATGTCAGACCTCAGTAATCCAGCATTTGGAATATTCCTGGTTTGTTTTTAGGTAGCAGTCAATGTGTAAAGCTCTGTAAATATCTCAGTAAACATGTCTAACACCAGAGAGACTTTCAGAAGCACTGTTGCAGTTGTGATGTACTTCAGTGCACCAAGAGGCTGAATCTGGGGTATAATAGAGGATATTCTGTGTAATTTAGCAGACTTCAACATATGTGCCTGCTATTGTGCTGCTAAAAGGTGGCAGCTGAGGAGAAAGAAAGTGGGAGGCGTGAGTATGGGAGAGAGCAATGCTGAGAGGTCTGAAGCATCACAGCTCTTGTGCCAGCACTCTGTGGCAGCCTCTCCAGATGGATAAGCCCTCTGAGATGCAAGAGACTCTTGGATTCTGTCAGAAGTGTGGAAGTGTTTTGGGTATGAAGCTATTGAGTCCTGGAGAAATTAGATCAGGGTAAGGGTATAGAAAGCTGGAAAAAAAGTAAGGTACTGTATTGCATGGAGGGGGAAGGAAGCATAAATTAAAATTGTATTGGAATGCTTACACTGTAATATAACCATTTGCAGAAGAAATAAAATTTGTGATTCTCCAGAAGATAATCCCTTCTGGAGCTATCTCTAGAGGAAATACAGGTGCTGTGGTACTGTTCATGAGGTTTTCCAGGCAGACTGATGTCCAAATCCTCTCTCACCTTTTTCAACCACTGAATGAAATCCGCATCCATTACCTTGCTCTAGAGCACCCTCACACTTTATCCTGTCCAGACTCAGTAGCAAATAATTGTTCTTGCAAATAATCAAACTTTGTTTGAGCTGGCATTAATTGTTCCTCTGCCTCCAGAAAACCTTGGATGGAGTGTATTTTGTGTATTTAGGCTTTCCAGTTGCCAGTAATTCTGAGAATGCATTTTTCTTACTAAAAATAATTTTTAAGAGTTCAGCCTTTTCCTTTTGCAGGGACAACACCCATTCAATCCATTCAAACTATTCTGGTAAAACCTTTTTATTTTTCTTAAAGCATATATTGCAAAACTCTTAAGGGATAATCTAAAAATTCCACTAAATGGAGCCACAAGATGTTGTCTAGTGAAAGATCACAGAATCCTAGAATGGTTTGGGTTGGAAGGGATCTTAAAGATCATCTAGATCCAAGCCCTCTGCCATGAGCAGGGATGCCTTCCACTAAACCAGAGTGCTCAAAGCCCCATCATAGGACTTCAGGCTCTATTCAAATGCTATTTTAAAAGATTTTTGCAAAACATCAATGATTTTTATTTTAGTGGCTGAGTCTGGCAGTCCTTTGCTGGACACTTTGTACCATGGAAGTGAAATGTATTCTTTCATTCTATCCATTAGTGAATTTATCTGTCGTGCAACATATATGGTGAACACATTATATACAGCACTTACTTTGGCTGAATTGCTTGAGTTTTCACCATGCCCCAAATCTTTTGCAGCTACCTCAAAATCAAGATAAATAATACTGGTGCATTCAGTTTTTTCAGTGTATTCATCTATTTCAGTGTCTGTAAGTTTAATATTAGAATGTAACTAAGGGCAGGCTTAGAAATACGTGTAAGGATGTAGCAGCTCGAGTTGTGATTCAAGTGTGCGCATCGTCTCTAGCTCAAATGTTGTTTGCAGTGGGATCAGATCAAGTTTGAGCCAGCTGGTTCAGTAATGATGAGTCCTGAGTTCTTTCCCAAAACATGTTACCAACTCAAAAATTCAAGCTTTAATTTCAGCAGCCTGGTCATTTCTCTTCGTCTACTGAACAAAGTGTTTTTTTCAAATGAAGACCAAAGTCGTGGAAATATACAAATATTATCAAGACAGAAGTAAAATATTCTCCTTTGAACTTTCCAGTATATCCCTTCAGTTAATTTTGACAGCCTGCCTATAAAAATATATGCTGTATTTCTTCTGGAACATTCTGTTCACAACTGGGTGAAGCCTGGGAGAAGTGAGGGTTCAACCGAGCTGCTGCTTGCATAAGAGAAAAAAATCTCAGAGCAGGGAGATTTTATTTTGTTCTTAAAAATATTCTTTTGATTATTAATTATTTAAAAAATATTACTTCTAATCTTAGCTAAAGCTAAGATTAGAAGTAATATTTTTAAAATAATTAATACATATCAGACTGTATTAGAAGGATTTTTGGAAACTGCTTGTGTTCCTTCCCTGTTGCACATATGAGTGTTTGCTTTCATATTCTAGCTGGATGCAAGTTGATTTTCTCTAGAACCACGTTCATTGCTCTAAACTTTAATGTAAGCTCTGACTTTATCAAGAATAATTCTATGAAAGCATTTTTGTATTGCTAACATTTATATTCATAACTATTTGAATTACTCTTTTGCATTTTTCAACCTCTTCCCTTCTGTTTACCTTTGTTTTCTCATATTCAGTTGCAAAGTCTTTTCATTGTAGAGAGATTTCTTCATGGCAATATAACCAGCCATCCAGAAAATACTCAGATTTTTTCCACGTGGACAGGGAGGAGATCAGAGTACACATACTCACATCTCACAGATGGCAGCCAGGAGCTTTCCCAGGAGTGCTCACAGACTCACACACAGTTGTTCATTCTGCCAAGGTGTGCTCGCTCTCTGATCCTACAGCTGACAGTAGGTCCCTACAGGTTTTTTTGTCTGTGACACTTGGCCCTGCTCCAGCTGTGTACCCTGAAGCACCTTTGTGCCCTGCTCAACCCCGTGGATCCTCACAGGTGTGTTACTGGCATTCACTCACATCACTTTCTAGGTCCCAGCCAACTTTTACTGACTCAATTTTCTTTTAGGCACCTTTCAAAGTAACTCAGAAACAGCACAATATTTATTCTTTTATCCTTAAATATAAAATGTATGGAAGCTGTAAATAAAGTAGAATCATTTGCACATAATTCCCATACTACAAAATATCCTCCTCATCCACAGTGCAGCTGGAACTCTGACTTTCTGAGCTGGGATAAACAGCTTGCATCTTCTGACATATTCTTTCACTCAGTCTGTCAGATTTTTCACTGATGTACAGCTCCTAACAACTCATCTCTTCAGACTTCTTTCTGCAAGGCTGATCTTTGGTCTGTGTTGTTTAATCTCTCTCTTCTCAGGTGCAAAACAAAACCTCTGATGCCATCTGAGAATTCCTTTCACAAGTATGAAATTGGCTCTTGTGTTCAAAGAGATGATTCTTATCTGCCTACTTCCTTTCTGACCATGTTCTATAATGATCTGTTTATATGTAGAGTTCTTTAATTATCCATCTGTTCATGCTGGCAGCAGAACAAAATTGAACAGGGGAACAGGCTGACACAATATAATGCAGACATCTCACCAGCTTGTGGAAATGTTGGTCCTTACAGTCATAGTGGGATTGCATATTGCCCTTTATTTGCGTGTGATACAGTCTTGGTCCATACCTGTCAGGATTGGATGTCCAAGACTAGATCCCTGTCTCTAGGTACTTGATCTGTATTCTGCATGATTATTGTTCTTCCATTTCTGCACTTGGCTGTTGGCTTGTGGAAGAGGTTCATCTTGATCAGTCAGTTCCTGCTGTTCCCTCTTAGGCAGCCCATGCTGATTTACACCAGCTCCCCACACAAATCTGGAAGGCCCCATCAGGAAGATCTTTCAAAGGATGTAACTGCAAAAACCCCCTCTCAGTTCCATTAGCACCTGGGTTTCATACAAAGGCACAGATTTAAGCATCAAAATAACTTTTCTCAGAACTCTTCAAGTTACTTTCTCATCACAGTGCTGTGTTTTTGTAACTTTGCCATCTGAGTCTACGTCATTATCCAAGTTTTAGTACAATTCTCTGCTTTTCCTGTTTCCTTTCTCTCAACCTTTGTAAAAGATGATGAAGCCAAAGCCAAATGCCTAAGGTGGCTTCTGGCCAGATTTGGTGGCAGTAATAGTGTGCTCAAAGCAGGCATTTATAGCTTTGCACCTACATCTCAGCCTGCATCAGCTACTGATCCTGCAGGGCTTCATCCTGCACCACAGCTGTTTTATTCTAATTCAGATATTTTGCTCTTTTTGCACCATTTACCCATCAACTCTCATTTAAATGTACAATGCTTGTCTCTAGCAGAACCTTGATTCCAGTTAGGAACTGGGGCTTGCGTTTTGTTTGCCTTCTTAAAAATACACCTCAGTTCTGCTGTTCTGGTCAGGCTTTTCTCTGTTTTTCAGTTAGTGTATTACTGAAAATGTGGCTCTTCCAATGCCTTCGTGCTTCTGAATGAGCTCATCAGGAATGGCTTAAATCAATTGTTGCAGTAAGTCTAAATGCAAAGTAGAAGCTGAGAGTACATTAACAAAAAGCTTTCATTCTTGCACAAAGTTTTAATTAGCCATCCTATTGATCTTTCCAGTTCAGTGCCTCACAAAGGACCCAAAGCTTTCCTTTATGGACCCGTGTTACCATTAATTTGATTTCTTTCTCTTTTTTTTGGCGCAGGAATTCAGACAAAAACTTCACTGCTGCTGCCACTAGAATTATATATTCCAGTTATATACCAGTGTTATAGAAATAAGTAGTTTGAAGGGTAAGAAGTCAAAGGAGGAAGTACACCTGAGAAAAAGCTGTGACTACAGATTTTGACCTTTGTTCAAAGTTGCTTCCTGCCTCATTTTTGTTTGCAGCTCTGCTAGGGCATTGATATTATTGCAGAAGCACAGTTCTTTGGCAACAGTACTCATCTTTCTACCTGACTTGGAAGCAATGGCTTGCAGAAAAATAGATTGTTTAAATATATATGTATATATGAAAAAAAACCCCAAAGAGCCCCAGACCCTGGAAGTTTTCTTACAGATTTCACTGTAAGTGCTAGAACTGACCATCTTTTTTCTTCCAGTACTGCTAGCTGTAAGATAGGCCAAGTTTGGGTTCTAAAGAAGGAACACTTGCCCTTTTTTTGAAGAAGTAAAAAACCAAACCAAAACCCACAAGCTAAAAAGCAAAGTGGATTGACAGTTGTTTAGAAGAGCTAGTATTACTGTGACCCCCTTTGATGGGTCGGGGCTGTTTCTGGTATTTCAAGGTGATTGTTGGCGCGGGTCCTCCTTCGGCACCTCTGTATGACTTGAAGTACTTCATCCTTGCACGGTTTATGAATACAGAGTATAACTACCAAGCTAGCGCAGCTCTCACAGAACAACACTATTTCTGCAGTGTTCATCACAAGCTCGTTCTTTGCCGTTCCAATGCTCCTCTGTAGTTTCAGTGCTGTCCTGAAGAGAATCATGACGTTATAAAACAGGCGGCAGATGAACATTGTCGCGCTGATCACGTACACGGCGGGGTAAGCGCGCATGTGCTGCTGCAAGGCTGGAGCTCCAGCAGGTGCTTCCTTAGCCCACAGAACAGTAAAACAGAGGATTTGGAGTAACGACGGGATTCCAAACCCAAAGGTGAATTTAACAATCTCATATTCGGGCCATGCAAATAATGGATCCAACTGGCAGTGTGCTTCCAGGTGATAATTATCAGTGCCAACCAGCACTGCCTCCGTCAGGGACAAACAGAAGGTGTATGTGAGTACAAGCCCAACACACAAGATGGGTCTTTGGGTGGCTTTGCAGAGAGCAGTCTGTGGTGGAAATCTCTCCAGTAATAGTGTGAGAAGTGTCAGAATGAAAACATACTGAGAATTGAAATAACCAAAGTTGAAAAAAAATGACAGTACGCTACAGGCAAGGTGGGTTGCTGTTAAATAGTCAGGTCTAGTGATGACAGTAAAGGAAAAAAAAATCATTATGATATTGCTGATGGTGAAATATAGAAGAAGTATGTCCAAGCTTGCTCTTTTGTTCTGCAAATAATTCTTTATGAAAATGATCAAAATACATATGCCAGCTATTAATCCTGTGGGTACAAAAAAGGCAATGTAACAGTGCATAACTCTGGATATGATGTTTTGAGAAGCTATGACAGCTTCGATTTCTTCTGGGGAAACGAAAGGCTGGCTCTTGCTTGGGTAGCTGATCCACGTCATGTTGTGAGAAGTCATCCTTCTTTCCACACTGTGCTTCTTTCCTGTTCAACGGTGTTTGAAACGGAACTGGAAAAGGAAGATGAAACAAGTTTTAAAGTACAGCTTTAATGCCTGTTTTTGCATTGAATATATTATGTGCAGTCAGGCGTATGAACCATTTGTTCAGAATAAATGCAGTAATTTCTTGGTGGATTTTACACTCCTGTGTTATAACCCAAGTTAGCTTGAAATTATTTTTAACCAGATAAATCTGCTTTTTTATTTTTGATGTGGTTTCTGCTCTTACCACTCCTCCCTTTTCCTCGCTTGGTGCAGCTCAGCTTTGTGGACAGCCAGGATCCAGCACGCTGATGTTGCCCATGGAATATGTGGAATACTGGTTGTTCAGCGGGTGAGGAGGAGCTGGCTCTGTTTAGGTGGAGCTGCTTTTCCTCCCCATCTGGCCAAAAAAGGCCAAGGCGGTTTGCAGGGCAATCCAGTGTGTGGGCAGCAGCTCCAGCCACAAAAAGCTCTTCTGTACTGTCGCAAGGGTGGGAATTTTGTATCATTTGAACCCAGCTGCAGTCTCACACCACATACTGAGGAAAATGCAAAGATAATCACAATAAGAGGCATGAGCCACATTCCTTTCTTTGTTTTAGTTTTGCTTCCTTTCTGTTCTGAAAAAAAGCTTTTCATAGCTGCAGTCTGTGCTGAGGAGCCCGTACAAAATTAATGAGAATGTATAAGAACTGTTATGAACAAACTGCTTTTATACCAAAACATCTTTATACATTAATAACGCTGTCATTTCTTAGATGTAGCTGTTGCATAAAACAGCAAAAAATAATGATTTTCTGCATGCTCAACTTTGAGAAAACGATTACTGGTGCATTATAAACCCGTTGATAAAGTTTTAGCAAGGACCATTTATTACAACTACATTATAAATTCCTGGAAATAGGGAATTTTGAGAGTAATATGGTCAGGCTGTTAGCTGTAATGACTCTGTGATATGTTGATACAATGATTTTGTTACTGTATAAACGCTTGGAGGCTCCTTTTCTTTTAAGCCGAAAAGCTTTTATGAGAACATGGTATGTACTTGTGAAAAACTGTAATGGATATGGATATATGCATTTTCCAGACTACCTAAAAGCATAATTAGCTCAGCTTCTAAGAGGAAATTTCTGTGCAGCTTGTACTGATTGATACAGAAAATAACATACCTTTTTTTAGTTGCAAAGATTAAATATATTTAAACATGAGATAATAAACCCACTGTTCCTAATTAATTTGGAACGTCTGATTAAAGATGTTCCTCTGCACTGGAGAAAGTTAAACAAATAGGCATTTTTACAGTGTAGAGTGTTCTTTGGGGGAAAAATCTTTTTTATTTGCAAAGATTCCAATTTTGTGTTAGACTTTGGTGTTTTTACTTTGTTCTGTTTTACCTAAAGCTCTTCTGAACAAGCAGGCAAAGACAGGACCATGGAGTTCTCCCTACAGAAGTTTTTATAAGTCACAGTGACAAGAAATTGCATACTTAGTTGTACATAATGCCTTTTCCATAAGGGGATTTTAGTGATGTTAACTCTTAAAATGAAAGTAATGTTAAATTGGTAAAAATTCATAGAGATGCATTAATGTTTTTAAGCAGTGCTCATTATAGATAAATCAGTGTCTTAATACTGTTTGACAGTTAATTTATGGTTGTTACCTCTGACACTACTTCACATTTCTGATGTTTCTAATCTCTCCTCAAAATTGGAATTCTAATACTGGTTTTAATTAGAAAAGTTGACTTATCAAAGTGGCTTTGATTAAATGTGTATGTAATCTTATATAATTATAATTTCATTTATAGAAAAGCGTGGAGTTCTGTTTTGATTCAGCAGTGTTCTTTGTCCCTTTTTAAAGACAGAATTTCTTCTTTTGTAGAAAAGGTTATTTTCTGAGAGATTCCACTATGGAAAGGACTAACACACCCAGGGAAGATGTTTTGTGTTACAGGTGATTTTGCAGAGGCAAGGTTGGCTGGTCAGACTCTGTGCCAGCCTCTGAGCTGGGGTGCACCATGTAGGAAAGAACTGATGGGCAAAACAGGCAAAAGTCTCTGAAGCAAGTTAAGAGGCAATATAGTTTTGAAGCTTAAAAATAGTTTATTAGATATGAAAAATTCTTGTGTGTGAAACTTTAACTTCTGCAAGTCATTTCTTCTTAAATATTTAGGAGGAGTCTCAAGGATGAAGGAAACTCTAAGTCAAAATTTGATCTTTTGTTAGGAGAGAGATTTGAAGCTTAATCTGGTAAAGGATTGTGACCACTTGAGCATCTGAGAAAGTCTGTTATCATCCCACACTGTAGATTCAAGGTTAGGAAATATTTACATTTAGAGCTGTTCCACCAGGGCCTCCAGTGCTACCTGTAAATTCCTTCTGCAGGGCTGAATGGAAGAATTCAGTTCTGTGAACATCTCCATTATCTTCTCAACAACTTGTATGGGCCAACTAACTGTGCTCACTGTCCTTGCAGAGAATCTCAGCATAATTTAGCAACATTCAGCTTTTTGGTAACATCATTTCAAAGGAAGCAAAGGGCATAGTTTGGGGTTTCACAGGAAATCATGGGGCCTTATATCAAATTACAGGGGGGGAATAAAAAGGATACCAAAACTTGAATAAATTTGCTCAGGACCTGGCCTTGGTACTGATGCTGGGTTCAATTATGACCATAACAATGTATTTTTAATTGTATTTAAATACTCTTTGGGCATTTAAAACAAAGTAAAGCTTAATGCAGCATGTTCCAGTAACTGCAGCTTACTGTGCAAGCAAGTGCAGCATCTCGGTTTCTCTTCCTGTAGCCACCTGCTTGCACACTGTGGTGTGTTACTGGCAGCCCAGCAGTGTTAAACAGAGGCTAAGGATGTTTTGCTCTCATTTGGTGTCAGGATGACTGAAACAGTTTCAGTTGCAACCGCAGACATGCACATTATTGTTAAATAACTAAAATTGATGCTTCCTCTCCATCTAAATATTATTGTCCTCATCTAAGTGTATGTCTTTTAAATTACCTCTTCTGAGCAAGGGTTTAAATTGAACAAAAGGAATCTCTTCAGCCTAGAATTAACATGCTCACTTTGGGGAAATAACAGTGCAACTAAATATTTGTAATTACAATCAGTGTTAAGTATCAGAATTCTGAGCTAAGGAAAAATTTTTAGGTGTGCTGTTTTAAAGGGAGCACCTTGGGATTCCCACACAAACAAAATTTTACTAAAAGAGCAAGCTGTTTGCGGCTTTGCTGTGACCAGTCAGTGTGAGTATAAATCTTTTCTTTGAATTCAATAAAGTGTTTATTACAGAAGAAGAAATATCTCCTAGCAGTTTGTAGCCAATTCTGAAATATTTTTAGTTTGGCAAATAAGATTAAAGTCAATGCTGTAGTTATTAACTTTCCCCCTTAAATTATTCCTAGAAGCTTAAAATAATCACAGTGATAATGTCAGGGACTCTTTTCATATTTTGTTCTGGTGTCTCACTATTAAAAAGATCAAATGGCAATTTGGAGCTCAGGTTGTGGTAGGAAAGGCTCCTGTGCAGGGGGTACAAGCAGACATGGCCAGTTCTTCCTACAAGCTGAAACACATGTGCATTTTCTCTGAAATGGTCACCCCCACCTGTACATTTCTGACTTCCTGACAATCTGATTTTTTTTTTTCTTTTTAATATTTTGTCTCTTCATAATGATTTCAGTGAAATTTGAGGGTACGTAGCACTTTAGAAGATGATTGTTCATCACCTCATGAAGTGGCTGCATCAGGGTTTTCAAGCTGGGGTTATAAACTGGGTCCCACCAGAACAGCCTGACTCTCCTGCAGCCCCTGCAGCTGATGGATTTGGAATGGTCCCAGATGGCACAACCTCTCTGGTTTTTTGGTGGTTTTTTTTTGTTGTTTATTTCTTTGTTTGTTTACATCACTCTGAATAGCTTTAGAGATTCCTGTGACTGTGAGGTGCTCATCTATCATGTAAAGCAGCTCTTAGAAATTATCTTTCCACTTTTAAAACATTCCCAAATATCAAGTTCATGCTTAGAATAACAATGGGATGAAGGAGCTCACTACTTCTGCTGTAGTAGTATTAATGTTTGTGAATTTTTTCAGACTATTGGTTGTACTAATTTAATTTAATTTAAAATAAAAATATATGTTGCATGGGAGCAGCAAAGGGTGGCTTATTTCTCACATGATGTTTTATTTTAGAATATTCATGCAGCTTTTTTTTTTTCAAAATTAGAAAAAGAGTTTCCATCATAAAAAAATATAGGGAATTTATTGTCATTTTCCTCTGCTGTGAAAAGATCTCGTATTCCCTCAGTTCTTGTCTGGTTCTTGGATTTACTGCAGGGACATTCTTTTTTTTTTTTTTTTCAAAATTAGAAAAAGAGTTTCCATCATAAAAAAATATAGGGAATTTATTGTCATTTTCCTCTGCTGTGAAAAGATCTCGTATTCCCTCAGTTCTTTTCTGGTTCTTGGGTTTTCTGCAGGGGCATTCTTTTTTTTTTTTTTTCAAAATTAGAAAAAGAGTTTCCATCATAAAAAAATATAGGGAATTTATTGTCATTTTCCTCTGCTGTGAAAAGATCTCGTATTCCCTCAGTTCTTTTCTGGTTCTTGGGTTTTCTGCAGGGGCATTCTTTTTTTTTTTTTTTCAAAATTAGAAAAAGAGTTTCCATCATAAAAAAATATAGGGAATTTATTGTCATTTTCCTCTGCTGTGAAAAGATCTCGTATTCCCTCAGTTCTTTTCTGGTTCTTGGGTTTTCTGCAGGGGCATTCTTTTTTTTTTTTTTTCAAAATTAGAAAAAGAGTTTCCATCATAAAAAAATATAGGGAATTTATTGTCATTTTCCTCTGCTGTGAAAAGATCTCGTATTCCCTCAGTTCTTTTCTGGTTCTTGGGTTTTCTGCAGGGGCATTCTTTTTTTTTTTTTTTCAAAATTAGAAAAAGAGTTTCCATCATAAAAAAATATAGGGAATTTATTGTCATTTTCCTCTGCTGTGAAAAGATCTCGTATTCCCTCAGTTCTTTTCTGGTTCTTGGGTTTTCTGCAGGGGCATTCTTTTTTTTTTTTTTTCAAAATTAGAAAAAGAGTTTCCATCATAAAAAAATATAGGGAATTTATTGTCATTTTCCTCTGCTGTGAAAAGATCTCGTATTCCCTCAGTTCTTTTCTGGTTCTTGGGTTTTCTGCAGGGGCATTCTTTTTTTTTTTTTTTCAAAATTAGAAAAAGAGTTTCCATCATAAAAAAATATAGGGAATTTATTGTCATTTTCCTCTGCTGTGAAAAGATCTCGTATTCCCTCAGTTCTTTTCTGGTTCTTGGGTTTTCTGCAGGGGCATTCTTTTTTTTTTTTTTTCAAAATTAGAAAAAGAGTTTCCATCATAAAAAAATATAGGGAATTTATTGTCATTTTCCTCTGCTGTGAAAAGATCTCGTATTCCCTCAGTTCTTTTCTGGTTCTTGGGTTTTCTGCAGGGGCATTCTTTTTTTTTTTTTTTCAAAATTAGAAAAAGAGTTTCCATCATAAAAAAATATAGGGAATTTATTGTCATTTTCCTCTGCTGTGAAAAGATCTCGTATTCCCTCAGTTCTTTTCTGGTTCTTGGGTTTTCTGCAGGGGCATTCTTTTTTTTTTTTTTTCAAAATTAGAAAAAGAGTTTCCATCATAAAAAAATATAGGGAATTTATTGTCATTTTCCTCTGCTGTGAAAAGATCTCGTATTCCCTCAGTTCTTTTCTGGTTCTTGGGTTTTCTGCAGGGGCATTCTTTTTTTTTTTTTTTCAAAATTAGAAAAAGAGTTTCCATCATAAAAAAATATAGGGAATTTATTGTCATTTTCCTCTGCTGTGAAAAGATCTCGTATTCCCTCAGTTCTTTTCTGGTTCTTGGGTTTTCTGCAGGGGCATTCTTTTTTTTTTTTTTTCAAAATTAGAAAAAGAGTTTCCATCATAAAAAAATATAGGGAATTTATTGTCATTTTCCTCTGCTGTGAAAAGATCTCGTATTCCCTCAGTTCTTTTCTGGTTCTTGGGTTTTCTGCAGGGGCATTCTTTTTTTTTTTTTTTCAAAATTAGAAAAAGAGTTTCCATCATAAAAAAATATAGGGAATTTATTGTCATTTTCCTCTGCTGTGAAAAGATCTCGTATTCCCTCAGTTCTTTTCTGGTTCTTGGGTTTTCTGCAGGGGCATTCTTTTTTTTTTTTTTTTCAAAATTAGAAAAAGAGTTTCCATCATAAAAAAATATAGGGAATTTATTGTCATTTTCCTCTGCTGTGAAAAGATCTCGTATTCCCTCAGTTCTTGTCTGGTTCTTGGATTTACTGCAGGGACATTCTTTTTTTTTTTTTTTTCCAAATGCACGTCATGTTTATGTTCTGCTGTGGTGTGGGTGGAGGGAGTGACAACAGCAGACAAGTCCTCCACTCTTTTAGTGGAATCTGTCAGCTTACAGTGCAAACACCTCAAGACCTGAATTATTTTTTTTTCTCTTACAACATACTATGACATAAACTGACTTCTTTTATTTCCATTTAGTCACGGTAACTATGGCAGAAGCCAGATCTGTTTCTGTTTGTTTTATGGTTAGTTATTGAGGGAAATGTGCAATATGCTGCTTGGTTTAACTTTGTGTTGTCATGCTTCAGTATTTTATCCCTTTATCTCAGGTCCGCCTTACTTTAATTTGCCATCAGTCACATCACAGATCCCTTCTTAATTTCATGAGGCCTCACTTTTTTCTTGGATTTTTTTTCCCTCTTTCTATCCCTGTTTCCTCCCTATAATTCAGCAGTTAAAGCAAATATGTTTGATTTTCACTTTCTGAAGCATAGTGAATACATTCCTCTTCACTTCCAACACAGTGAGCACAGTGTTCAAAAAGCAGTTTAAAAATAGCAAGTTGTGAAAGGACTTTCATTGCTTTCCTCTAGTCCCTAAGATTCCGTTGGGTTTGGGTTCCCCATCCCCACTTTAATGTTAACTTTTGCAGAAGGGGAGGTTTGTGTTTATTTAAAGTCTAGAAGGCAGAGCTCCTAAACCAGGGAGTTTCTCCCTGGCAGCCAGAACTCTTCCTCTATAAAAGGTTTGGTAGGGCAGTCTTTCTGCACTCTGTCACCAGCCTTTAGAAGAAAAATATTCTTTCCTCCAGTCATAAAGCAATACACATAACATTGCTTGTGAAACTGCTGTTGGTAGGGATGTCCTGCAGTGTGACTGGAGATAGCACGTGATCTGGGGAGAGAAGATGTCCTTTCTGTTCACACTGTGTCTGCCAAGTTAAAAGATGGGGGGCAGCTTACAGTATATGAGACTAAAATAAGAAATACTATGTTCATCTTTCTTGTAAGAGCTCAATTCCTACGCTTGGGCAAGTATTTGAAGTCGTAAAGACTTAAGATTTGAAATCCTACCCTTGTGGAAAAGTAGCAGTTCCTGAGAAACCGAAAGCTTTTGTTTTTACTTTTCTAGAATATAAAGGAACTAACAGTGACTTAAACATAATCCCTGAACTGTTTCCTGTCCTATACAATGCCTGTAGTGGGTTAAGATTATCTGACAATGTCCATCCTTTAAAAGATTGGTTTTAGGCAATGGTTGGAGTCGCTTGTCCCCACCACTGAACAGGGTTTCATCATCCACCTCCCATTGGTTCAGCGGCAGTGAAGTACTTACTGGAAAACAGTCTTCACATTTTCTCTACTTAATGCCCAGCTTTATCACAAATTTCAGCTTCATTATACATTTCTGCTTTCTGAGGACCTTTCCCAGATACAGTATTTTACTTTGTGTAGTTCAAATGTTGCTAAAAAAGGGAAAACTAAAAACTTTTAATTTAAAGCTAACAACCTTAGCTTCGCTGTTTGAGCCTCTTGAATAAAACATTGCATATTCAAAGTAATATAAAGCACTTACCTTTTCAAGGAATTGTTCCACAGAAACAGTAGGCTGAGCCTTCCACTGAGAAATGGCAGATGAAATACAATTATTGTTTGGAGCTTATAGCCCTTTCTATTTCTGTGTGTATATTACAATAACTTCTTCAGCTGCTGTACATCACGGTGAAGAATCCAGGCGCTTGCTGACTGAAAAATATGCAGTTCTGTAGGGGAAACAGGAACTTTGCTGAAGTCATTCAAACCATACACGTTGCATGTTTAGCAAACCTATGGTTTCATCATCATGTGACTTTAAAGTTCAGATTCTCTTCTGCAATGAGATATTTTAGAACAGAAAAGTAGTGTTTGTCCCTGCCATTTCTAAGTATGCGAGGCCATCCAGTGGATTTTTTTTTCCTCTTCATGAAGTAATCCTACGCTCACTGGCCAGCCTTTGTAATTGCATTTTTTCCCAGTGCGCTGTGTGAAGTGCTAGAGGTCTAGAAAAGGAAAAGCCTGTGGAATAAATACCACACCACGCCCTTTGCTTAATACAACAAAAGCTCCACTCAAAGCAGGGCATGTCAAACCATGAAGATCCCTGCTTAAAAATAGGTTATTTCTAGGTTTCCAAGGGTCCTGGCTTTTGGAATATTCCTGTTACTGTGTACATGCAATAAATTATTTTTCCAGATGCTCTGCAATGACCATGAGGTGTTAAAAGACAAGACTTGGAGTATGAAGGATGTTTTGGGTCTGGCTCAGCATCAGTCAGTGACTGTGTTGATGAATAGTGTTCTTAAAACCTCAGATATAAATAAGCAAGGAAGGGCTGGCTCATGATTTTTTTTTTAGTGCAGCCTGTCTGGCTGGGATGTGTCAGTACCATCATGTTTTCCTACACCAGCTCATGGGGAAGGGCATTTCTCTTGTAACCTTTCAGTAACCTGCAGTGGGTTTTGTGGGTTGAGAGGGTAGTTTGTGACCAGTGTATCAGCACTCTGTTTTCTTGGCTTCCCACTTGTTGCACTTCAACAAGGCTCACTGAAAAACACATGGAAACTGCCAAAACACTTCAAAGAAGTGAAATGAGACAAATGTGTATCAGTCTAAATTTCAAAATCAGAGTTGTGGATTACCTGTAGAAGATACTTGCTCTACATTTTCATCTGAAGGTTAGCACTACTGCTCCAAATACTTCCTTGAGATTAGAGGTAGAGTGGATGGAGGGTCTTGGGTTGCAGCAGTAGCCCAGCAACATTTCAGTTTTCAGCTTGAAGGTTCACATTCTTTGTGCAGATACTGTCCTCTCGAGCAGTTCTTCAGTACGTCAGGGGCTCTGTGAAATGTGATTTCCAATGAGCTTTATTCAGAATGTAATTCACATAGAACCTTTGATTTTGATTATCATATGGAGCAGTTTGTTGGACTGGGTAGGTTGTTTATTTTTTCCCTTTTATTTACAGTATTTCCTCCAAACTGTTACAGACAACCTTGGGCAAAGTAGCAGTGTAGTGCAGGTGTTTAGTATGTAGCATTTCCCTGTGAGCTGTAGCCTAATCCAGGCTCATTCTGTTGATATTAAATTCTTATAGTTAAGAAAGGTAAAGAAAAAAAATGCATTGTCATTACATGCAAATCAGGTGATTCTTTTATTTTTCTGTTGCTTTTTCAGTAAAGATGCAAATTTCAAGTGTCGCCTTATTCTTTCTAGGACTGAGGGCTGTGCAGAGAGCTCACCAAACTATGTAGGTATAGTGAAGTGATTGTTTTTGAAATTGCAGAAAAAATTCAGGAAGGTTTTGGTCATCACCTTAACTTTTTACCTTCCAGAATGGATCACTTGTGCACTCGAGGCAGCGACGAACAGTTGCAACATGTTTTTGTTGCTGTACTTTCCACTGAAGTGCTTTGAATAGGACCATTATTGATAACCCTGGGCTCTGCTGGGGGCAGGGTGGAGGGGGGACTAAAATTATTTATTGGCTGAGGGCCAGGAGCAAACTGCTGGGGGTTTATATCTTTTTGAATTTGCCTTGAGTGGGTTTACACAAGGATATCTGGCTGTGCCCTTGGTGTTTATTAAAAGAGAGGCAAATCAATAACTGCACGAATGTAAGGAATATTCAAAGCTCTCTTGACAAAGGTTTCAGTGGCTGAGTTAATGAGCAGTCGGTGAGCAAGGAGTCACTCCCGTGCGGGGAGATAAGCCCTGACACAGCAGAGCTGAGGCCACATTTCCTGTTACTCAGTAACCTCGGCTCTCACAATGCTTGGGCTGGGCAAGCAGAGCTCCAAGGGAACTTATCCACTAAGACAAAATTGTATAAATAGAACCGGAAAAGGGAAAAGAGAGAAGCTATTTCTTACAACTCCCATCTTGGAAATGTAATCAAAGAGAAAGCTCCCATCTTTAAAATGCATTCACCTTTACAGACATCAGTTCATACTTTGTCTGAAACCTGTATTAAACATCATTATTCAGTTGTACTTAGGGAGCAAGAACATGTTTTCCTACTTGGAATCAGGTGCACATAGCACAACACAATTTTATGGGAGACTCACATAGGAGCTTGAGAGACTCACAGCATCACATTTTACAGGTGGAGAATCTTGGCTACTGGGAAATTTATTCTTCCAAGGTGATGGAATAAATGGATAGCCAGAGGAGAAATAGAGGTTAGAAAATATAAGTTTCCCAACTATATTCTTTATTCTGTTTAGACTTTGATGATTCCCATCTTGATAGCTGCAATTCTGCCTCATCTACAGAAATAAAAGAAATTTTGAGGTATGTTAAGAGCTCCCAGGTGGAGTTTCAGCAGCAGCTTGCTGTGCTGTTACTGTCACAGTTAATGTGTTAGTAAAAGAAAAGCAAAATATTGCTGTTGTGTGACCAGCTGCATCTTTCCTTAGAAAAAACAATAAACCAGTTTGTTTAATTTGCTTAAATGATCACAGGGTACAAGTCATGTGAGAATAGTGGCAAGCAGACTAGTGCTCAGTTGTATAAAGGTTTCATAAAGCTCCAGAAAATGGATAAGTGATTGTGTTTAGGATTGATGCATTATGTCATAATTATTTTTATTAGTGATTTATGGATTTATGATTTTTTTGGTGTAATTTCTTAGCATGTATTAATTTACTTGCTGTCAGTGGAAAAGGTTGATGTGTGATAATGATGTTCTGGATAGGATGGAGGCAGGAAAGGTGAAGTTACAGAAGTGAAATAGTTGTGAGATGCTGTGGCAATATTTAGGGATTGGCTAAAAACATGTACAGCCACTAACCACTTATAGTGTGCTGTGGTGGGCAAAACTCAGGTTTATTTTTGAACACAGCTGCTCATATGGTAAAATAAATATCTCCACTACTGAGTGACAGATGTTGCTATAAAGAAAGCAGATGTGAATTACTTTTTTTTTACTAACACCAATAATTTCTCTTAATTGACCCATATTACTGATGTGTTTAGCAGAGAACACATCCCTGACAGTAGGCTTAATTTGAACTGAAGGCTCTTTCTGTGTGTGCCAGATGAGAGAAACTTCTCCATCTTGTCTGACAAACACTGTTCAGTGCTTCTGGCTTGTGAGATGCTGCAGCCCTGGAGATTTCAGTCTTTTTGTTCTCTGGCTTCAGGCAGATCTATCCTGCAAATATTGTGGAAATGGTGATCCTGTCTTGCTCATCCTCCTTCTGAGCAATTCTGATCAGCTGCAATGCTCAGCTGAGCATTAGAGCTCCTGTTTGCTTGGTGCTGCATCAGACAGCCACAGGATGATCACAGATCCATCCTGGAGACCAGAGGCTGCAGCAGCTTGCGTTAGTCCAAGGACTGGACTGGATTCTCTGGGGTATTGATTATTGTTTGGGAGCTAATCCTCCATAAGGAGCCCAAAGTTTATTGTCAGACTACATTGTTGTCTTCTTCTCTCAGTTAATGTATCTTTTCTTGCCTTTTGGATGTAATGTTATTAAGAAAACCATCCCTTTTGTAGAATGATAGGATTGTTTTGGAATATTAAATGTCTGTTATTGCCTATACCCCAGTGTATTATGATGAAAAGCAGTTGCTTTGTTACTGGAATTTTGAATCAGGCAATACACTGCAATTTTGTTTCGAAGATGTTTTTCATCAACTGTCAAGTATTTCCACCTTAATTTTTCCTCATATTGTTGTTGTGTAAGAAAAAAATATCTTGAGTGTGGGGTATAAGCCACTGTGTTAGTCAAAGTTTGCTTTGACTCTGTTTGTCTGAGCTTAAATATTGGAATCTTTTCTTTGTGGCATTTTAAGACATTAAAATCGCTTATATTAATGCAATACCTCAAAATTCCTGGGGAGAAAAAACTCCCTAATTTTTGGGAGGAATATCTGTTCTAAGGCTTTTGCTGTATTGGTGCACAGTTACCAGTCACACTGTAAAACTGTTCTTGTGAAGAGCCTTGCTGTTAATTTTATATAGGATTAGTCTTACTTGACAGCAAGCAAATTTGTGTCCTTCATTAAAACATTGTAGAACATTAGGCCTTTGACATTAAAAAGGACACCCCTCCTCCAAAAAACCCAAACCCACCAAACCCCAAAACATGAGGGAAGTTGTACAGAGAACCAAGAATTGCTAGTTGGAACAAAATTAAAGGAATCTTGTTTATGGGTTCATTTTAGAACAAAAGAACCTCACATGGCTTTATTGTATTATATTCCCTGCATGTTTGGTTTAGGAAGGGATTTTTCTAAGTGTGGTTTTTAAAATGGAATTCAGATGCTTATGCTTATTTATAAGGTACATGGAGCTATGTGGATTTGTAAAATCTGATGGTCTACTCTCTCTGCTTGGATGGGGTTAAGAAGCCCAGGCTGCTGATGTTTATCCATAAGCACTGGTTATTAATGATTATCTGCACCTCAGAGGCTGGTTGTAAATCAACATTTCTTCCTTTTTTCTTAGAACAGCCATGCTTGGTGCTATGTGATTGCTGCCTTCACATCTCAGGGTTCCTTGCCTGTGGTTCACTATTAGTGGTTTTATTATTGGCTTATTTCAGCACTGTTTGTAATGTAAGTTGTTTTATAAACAGTGTTTTATTATTATTGCTATACAGTAATGTTTCTCAAAATAAATTCCTCAATACAGATAAATCATCTGTGTAACTCAGCT